GGGTGTGTCTTGAGCAGAGGACACAGCCTGCAGACCCTGGGAAAGCGTGCTACCATCCTCTCCCCAGACCCAGCATACTTGCAGTGTTAATGAATGGATGTTTAAGACCATGCGTATTGGTTAAGCTTCTGCTCCGTACCCAGCAAGTGTGCTGGGCCCTTAGGGACAGTCCCTGTGTACATGGGACTTGCCCATCTGTCTGCAGTCATCATGTTAAAAGCCTGGGTTCTATGATCAGACTATTGGAACTCAAATCCCAACTTCCCTTTTCTGTCTGGTGACCTTGAACCTCTCTTGGCTTCACTCATAAGATAGGAATGCTTTTGAAGGGTATCTAACTCAGGGTCATTGTGAAGTTCCAATGTGATTGTGCATATAAGGTCTTAGTGCAGCACCTGGCACAGAGCATACACTCATTAAGTGTGCTTGCATTTTTATTATGTGATTATCACTATTTTTACTAAAAAACACAGTTTAAAAATCACAACTAAAACCCAATTCTAATCCTTTTCAATTCCTCCAGATGGAGCTGTGCTTTGTGGCCTTGGGGATCAGGCCTCCCGACTTACCCCTGCCCACTTCTGCTCAGGAGTAGGTTTCAGTGCTGCACACCACACAGGAGAGCCAGGGAAGGCTGACACCGCAGTCATGTAGCCAAGGGCCTGAGCACTTAAGTTTGAACCCTAGAGCAAAAGTGATCTCAAATGAAGGTTTATGGGTAGTAAGACCAAAATAACAGGTTATTTTTTATTGAGAGAGATGGATATGGATATTTATATAAGGTTATTATATAACAGGGGAACTTAACTTTTCTGTCTCTTAAAGAAAAAGCTGCTGTTTAAAAGTTGTCAGCGAAGACTATGTAAAGACGTTGGTAATAATGGTTGCCTCGGGATAGAAACAGATGACTAGGACACAGGTGGAGGTGACTTTATTTTCACTCCGTGCTCTGTTGTACCTTCTGAGGGTATTTCCAGTTCTTTTTAAATCAGTATCTGATGCTAAGGAAATCCTGTCACCTTGGAACTGACTTGGTCCTGAGTGTTCTGTTCTGAAAGGAGCTGAGTGGTAGCAGGTAGACACCAGATATTTGGGGAGAAGGGTATTGTTGTCAGGATCAGGTCACAAAGAAACCTAACAGTCTTAAATGCCTCAGACTTTCTTTCTGACGCAAAGCCAATAGGGGGCATCCCGGGGCTGACAGCAGTTTTCCAAAGCTGTGGGGGACCCAGGGCCCTCTCAGCCTCACCTCCCACGTCCCAGGGTATGACCCCGGCCTCATTCCTCATGGCCCAAGGTAGCTGGTGGAGCCCCAGGCATTCCAGCCAAGAGGAGGAGGGGAAGAAAGCCATAACTTCTGAGACCTTTCCCCAAAGCTATTTGACCTCCCTGTTAATGTCCCCTCAGCCAGCACTAGCGAAGCCCAGCTCCAAGGGAGGCTGGAAAATGTTTGGGTTCGGGGTGGCTGTGTGCTTATCTAAAAGTAGGGGCTTCTGTTAGCAAAGAAAAAGGAACCAGAAGTGGGAAACAGTTGTCTCTGCCTTTGGTGTATTGGGATTTTAATTTATTTTTTGACAAAGGTCGGCATGTCCCCCTAAGCCTCTCGGAACTAGAATGTGCTGGGGCGGGTAGGACCAAGGCGCCTTCAGAAGAGGGACTGATACTCTGACCCTTCCCACTCCCTTTGTTTCTGTTTCTTGCGACTCTTACACCTGAGTTCTTTTTAATAAACTGACTATTAAATTAGGTCACATTCACTGAGCAGACTGTTCAAAATATATCTGGGCTGATGGAAAATATAACTGTCAAGCTATTCAATAAATTACACTATTTATTGCTCACCTAGTGTAGCCTGGCCCAATACCAGGTGCTGGGTATAGAGTGACGAACAGTTCCTTTGCCTCTTTTCTTTAGAATTAATCCAGTCACCGCACTGTCCAACAGAAATACAATACAAGCCACTGATGGAATTTTAAATTTTCTCGTGTCTTCATTTAAAAACTGGTGAACTTAATTTCAACATGTTTTCTTAAACTCATCATATCCAAAATATCAGTAGAAAGACTATGAATGAGCTATTTTACACTCTACATACTAAGTTTTCAAAATCCAGTGTATGTTGCACACTTAACTGCACATCTCAAGTTTCAAGCGCTCAGCTGCCGCATGTGGCCAGTGGCATTGTGTTCAGGTTGGAAAGCAGGTTAGTGCGAGTAGAGCAAACAATACCTGGTTACAGGCTGCCTGAGCCCAGGAGGAGCTCAGCGAGAGGAAGTGCGGAGGCCTGCTTGGGTTGGGTAGACCGAGGAGGACGCTGTGAGGCGGTGACATTGAAGCTGATACCTGAAGGCTGAGAAGGGCAAGGGGAAGGGTGTGTCCCAGGCAGAGGGACTAGTGTGCAGGAAGCCCCTGTGGAGGGAGCCTGGACCCTCCAAGGGCCAAGAGCCACCAGCAGGAGGCCAGTCCTGTCCTCCGAGAAGCTGAACTGAAGTCTGAGCTGAGCCCGAGCTCCAGAGTGTCCAGGGCCTCCTGCGTCTCCTGAAGCTGGACATTCAGAGCCACCCGAGGTTGAACAAATCGCTCCCTGTCCAAGGAACTTTCCAGTGAGGCCTCTGGGGGCTTAAACTGTCCAGCAGTCATTTCCTATTGCCTGTTAACCTGGCCCAAAATCCAAGGCCTATTTGACAGTAGATAATTCACACAAAAAAGGTAGAGTCCTGGCCAGTGTTGCTCAGTGGTTAGAATGTTGGCCCATGCACCGAAAGGTCAAGGGCTCAATTCCTGGTCAAGGGCATGTACCTGGGTT